AAATTGACTAGAAGCTTGAACCTAGGATTATTGTAGGTTCTGAGGGACAGTGGATTTCTAACAAGAGATAAGTGGGTAACTTGTAGATCTCTGCCTCTCCAAGTCTATAGTTTTTTAAAGTGCTCTGGATTCTCAGCGTAAGTTCAGTATTATTTACATTTGTTTATGTACAGGTCCCTATTCATTTCTTCTTTATTATTAATTTAATGCCTACCCCTATCTGCCAGTTACGCACCCTGGTTTTCACTCCAATGTGCTAAGAAATTAAATGCGTAAAAAGTGGACTCCTTCAGGCTCCAGATCTTCTCCTCTTACCACCTTAAGGCTGGATGTTCCTGGCTCTTCTCTCCTTCTTCCCTTCCTCCTTGACCTTCTGTCTTTAATTACTCCCCTCTCTTGTCAGTAGTAGAATCTGAACCAGTTCTGTTATTTTTAGAGAAATAGCACTCTCAAGCACAAATCCCATCTTTGCTACCATCTCCCCTGAAAAAAGGTCATTTACTTTTTCTCTATTTTCTTACTTCCTTAACGTATCAGCATTTGAATTCTGCTTCCAAGACCCTCATCTTTATTTCTACACCACATATATACAGAAACTAGTATATTACAGAAACTAGTATATTTTAGTGACTTCCTTGTTTTGTTCTCTAAAGAGTCCAATCTTACTTTAATTTTCCATCAATGCTTTTGACCTTCTGATGATTGTCCACTTGTGTGAAATCCTCTAATGTCTTGACTTCTGTATGGTCATTCTCTTCTGGCTCATTGAATCTCTAGAAATTTCTTTCTTTCTTTCTTTCTTTTTTTTAAAATCTGAATCAATGGATTCAACTTCTCTACCTACCATGTGCATATTACCTAGTGTGGTAATCTAGGCTTACTTCTCCTTTTAATTTGCAAAATCTTCAGGAAGACTTTACACTTTTGTGGTTTTAACCACTACATGGGTTTTTTCCTGCAGTTATATTCTGCTATGACCTTTCTACAGAACTCTGAATTTCTCAGTACAGTTATATTTTTAGATTCCACAAATATTTTAAGCTCAATAAATTCACTATTATTATGCCCACTCTTTTATTTCCACTTGCATTTCTATTTCAACTTGTGTTTCCACCCATTCATGTAACCTCCAAATTCATAAAAATAGAAGTCATTTTTATTTTGTTGTTGTTTGAACCCACAGATACTACACTCATTTGTACAAGCTATATGCTAAAAAAGGATGCCAGATCATTGGTTGGCAAGCTTTTTTCGAAGATCCAAATAAACTTGAAGCTGTGAATACCATATGCAGTTATCCTACTCTGCTGTTGTAATGCAAAATCAGCCAGACATGAAATGTACACAAGAAAATGTGTCTGAAAGTAGAACCTCCTGTGAACGTCTAGAGCGTTTGGGTCCCTGGGTAAGGGTCACGAAATAACCGGGACACAGGGGATGCAGAGCCAAGGCAGCAAATGCAACTGCATGTTGAAGTTTATTTGCAAGTTTCTTTTATACACTTCTTCTAACAAAGCAAGCAATTCTTCAATAACACTTTACCCACATTGTCCAAATATCATGCCTCAGCGGATACACAGAGCTAGATTCAAATTGTTCCTGTTTGTTTGATAAGTACCCTCCTAAAGTTCTTTGTAGACATTATCTACTCCTCTGAGGATGTATTTGTTTCTTCAGAATGTACTGTTCCCAGGATAAGTACGCAGGAAGCTTCTTCCTCTTGGCCAAACCATGCAGAACTTGTGACTTGCGATAAGGGGAAGAGAACTTTTCCTCCTCCTAGCTGAGGTTTGCCTCAGCTGACCTAAATCACAGCCACAGCTCTTGCAAACTGTCAGGCCTGAGGGAGCTAAACTCTGCACACTTAAACCCCAACAACCTCCCATAAAAATCGATTCATAAAAAGAGATGAGTTTGTCATCCCTTTGGATTAGAGTTGGGTACAGTAAATTCTACATGGGGCTACTGGGTAAACCAAGGACAATAGGAATGGTACTGTTTGGACTAGTGATCTTCTTGCCTGAAGTCTCTACCCCCAAATGTATTCATAACATCATTTTAATATTATTTTCCAAATATATCTTGGATACATGCTCTTTCCTTTTCAAATTCACTGCCCCTATCTAAGTGTAATCATGGAAGAATATTTCAAGGTCTTCCTAATCTGATCTCTTATGGTGAAATCCTACAAATTAAATCACCTTTCTAAAATTAAAATCACACTGAGGTAGGATAGAAGAAATAGAACAATTAATGGAAAGGATATATAAAGAAAATTGTAATTCAGAAGTTTTACATACTGTTTTAGGCCTGTCACTTCCTAAAACTGTCTCTCTGGCAAGCCCGTGACTTCCGAATTCCTGGGAAATCTGCAAATCTTCCTGTGCACTGTTCATTAACCACCCAAGAGATAAAGCAGAGAGAGATGATATTTTGAGAAACTCATAGTTCAGGGGACTTTATTTTATTTTTTTTTCTTTTTAGATATACATGACAGTAGAGTATATTTTGACATACTATACATACATGGAGTATAACTTATTCTAATCAAGATCCCATTCTTTTGGTTGTACATAATGTGGGGTTTCACTGGTGGTATATTCATATATGAACATAGTTATGTCCAATTCATTCTACTGTCTTTCCTAGTCTTATCCCTCTCTCTCCCCTCTTTGTTTAATCCACTGAACTTCTATTCTTCCCCTCTCCACCCCTGGTTGTGTGCTAGCATCTGCATATTAGAGAGAACATTTGACTTTTAATTTGGGGGGATTGGCTTATTTCACTTACTATGATAATCTCCAGGTCCATCCATTAACCAGCAAAAGTCATAAAGTCATTCTTTTCTATGGCTTAGTAATATTTCACTGTGTATATATCTCCCATATTTTCTTTATCCATTAGCTTAGCTATTATTAGAATATTAGAATTGAGCTGCTATAAATATTGATGAGGCTATTAGAATTGAGCTTCTATAAATATTGATGTGACTGTGTCACTGTAGTATGCTAATTTTAAGTTCTTTGGGTATATTCTAAGGAGTGGGAAAACTGGGTCAAATAGTGGTTCCATTCCAAATTTTCTAAGGAATTTCCATACAGCTTTCCAGAATGGTTGCACTAATTTATAGTCCCACCAGCAATGTATAAGTGAAACTTTTACTCCCACATCCTCACCAACATTTGTTGTTACTTGTATTCTTGATGATTACCATTCTGATGGAATCTCAGTGTACTTTTTACATTGCATTTTTCTAATTGCTAGAGATGGTGAACATTTTTTTGTCTATTTGTTTACCATTCGTATTTCTTCTTCTGTGAAGTGTCTGTCCATTTCTATTGTCCATTTATTGATTAGGTTATTTGTGTGTGTGTTTGTGTGTGTGTTTTAAGATATTTGCATAATTCTGGTGATTAATGCTCTGAGGTGTGGATGGCAAAGATTTTCTCCCATATTTCTACCATATTTTCTCTTAATTGTTTTCTTTGCTGTGAGGAATGTTTTTACTTTGATACCATTCCATTTATTGATCTTTGATTTTACTTCTTGAGCTTTAGGAGTCTTGTTGAAGAAGTTGGTTTCCGAGCCAACATGATGGAGAATTGGGCCTATATATTCTACTAGTTGGTGTGGTGTCTCTGGTCTAATGCCTAGGCCTTTGGTCCACTTTGAATTTTGCACAGAGTGAGAGACAGGTGTTTAAATTAATTCTGCTACATATAGATTTCTCATTTTCTCAATACCATTTATTGAACAGGCCACGTTTTCTACAATGTATGTTTATGGCACCTTTGTCTGTATTAGATAATAGTATTTATGTGGGTTTGTCTCTGTATTTCTTTTCAGTTCTAGTGATCTTCGTGTCTGTTTTGGTGCCAATGCCATTCTGTTTTTATTACTACAGTTCGGAGGTGCAATTTTGGGATTGTGATGCCTTCTGCTTTACTTTTCTCACCAAGGATTGCCTTGGCTGTTCTGCAATTCAGGGACTTTGTAGCACTATTGTTTGGTCAGATAATGAAGAACATCTTATCCTCAGGATCTTGAAACTCATCAAATCATTTCCACATACATTTCCATACCCCCCTGTACCAAGTTTACTTTAAAAGAAAAGCTGGGGACCTAAAAAATGCATCTTTCACTCTTGAGATTACCAGAATTCTCCCTTGAGTCTGTATTCCTTGCTTTACCCCAAAAGATGCCTCTTTCTGAAAATTGTCCCCATTCTCCCTTGAATGTGTACCTAATTTCCTAAATAAAACTTTGCCTGTACCTCTGACTTCCACATGCTGAAATTCCTTTCCATCACATAAGCCAAGGTTGAGTTGCCCCTTCTCTCTAGGAACTCCTTGGACCTTTCTTTGGAGACATCTCATCTCTCATGACAAGACCATATCCAACTCTTACATAAAGGGAAAACTCTCAATCTGTGTAAAGCACATTTTATCTAAATTTCTAGACTCATATTCTAGTAATCTTTTCTCTGGAGCTTTGCAATCTAGCAACATTGATTAATTTGGAGTCCCAAGAAGCTTATGTTTGTTTATCTGCTATCCCATCTACCTTTACTACTTTACTTCCTTCAAATTTCTACCTGCAAAAGTCACCTTCAGACTCCAAAACTGGGTTCAACTTTCACATTTCTATGAACATTTTCTTTTAATTATCCACAATAACTGACAAAATTAACCAGTTTCACTTCTTTGCAAATCTGTAAGCTTATGCACACATTAGTAATTAAACATATTATACTTCATTGGATCCATCTGATTAAATTTTTTTCTCCTTTACTAGACCATATAAGGACAAGAATTATACTTTAGGCATCTAGGTTTCTTCAGTGTCTAGCACAAGGCCTAAAAGATAGAAAATTCTCACTTTGTTGAACTGAATTGACTTGAATTCCCGCAAAGATTGAAATCTGAAAGTAATTACTCTCTGAAGCTATGTCCCAGGAAGCTCTAAAATATTGAGATTTTTTTTTTTTATTTTAAATGCAGAGGGAACTTCCAGATCATTACAGGCCTTGGATGGAAATTGCCAAAAAGCTTCCTCACTTGATTGAAAGTCACCAGCTTCGAGCTCATGTCAACAAGGTATTTACTTTTCTTTTTCGTCTCTTTATCCCCCTCTTACCATCTTGCTTCCATCTTCATACCACTTTTACATTTCAGTCTTGTGGAAGTGAAGCAGTTGACCTAGAGAATGGTCATTGCCATTGTCATGGAGTATTACCATGACAATATAAATATCTCATCCTTCCTAAAAAATAGGGTGACTCCTTCCTGATCATGACTTTCCCTAAAGTTTCCAGAACCTATACAGACAATACCCGGAATGTAGTAAACACCAGCCAAATGTTTGTTAAAGAAGAATCTGGCTGGGAATTGAATGAAAGTTAATGAAAAATGTGTGACTTGGAGAGGATAGTTGTGGACATCCTCAGAGGCCTCATTCCAAGTCACATGATAAGTGCTCTGCTGCCTCTGAGTGAATCTGTGCTGATTTTATCTTGGGTCTCACAGAATACTTGAATACAAGAATTTCTGAATTCTAAAGTCAGGATTAGCCTTGGATGATACAGAAATAATTATCTGCAAATATCACATAAGTATTTACATAGAGTTAGGTATATGATGAGTAATATGTGACAAAATGAATATTTTTTTTTCTCAAGAGTATGTAATGAATCAAGAAAATTCCAAGGAAAACCAAAATGACCTCACAAGGAATAATAAGAAGGTATAATAGGAAAGCCATAGACTTCCAGAAATACCTGGATTTAATCTTGATTCTATCACTCAGGTAGCACATGGACCTGGTGAAAATCTATTGACTTCGAAAATTTACTTCCTTCTTAAAAAAATGGGAGAAATTCTAGTCTCATAGTATTGCTGTGATAACTAAATGGTTTTGAAGGGGACTTCCAGGGCTTGATATATGTTTGATATTTCCTTCTCCTCCATCCATCATAATCATACTACATGATTTCAGAGGCACAAAAAAGATTTTTCTACTCTTCAGAACGCTATTTCCTGATGGAATCATATTTAGTATCTGTAATTACACACCCATTTAAAAATATTCCTTGATGTTCAACTGTAATGCACCAATAAAATGTAGAAAAATAAATAAATAAAAATATTCCTTGAATGTCTGTTCTGTGAAAAGCACAAGATTAGAAACACATAATAAGAGATTGTCTTCAATGTCTGTGAAGATGTTAAAAGTAAACCTTGAAAATTCTTTGTCATTTGTGTAAAAAGTTTTATGGGCATGACCAAAGAAATACAGAAAGAAGAAAGAAGAAACAAATAAAATATCTCTAAGGGCAGGAAAAGAGAGGAGATTATAGAGGATGGAACAAAAACTTTAAGGAGTTTTAAATCACATTAAGTAAATCATGTGTCAGATACACAAATAAGTTTATAGTGTTCATAGCAAGCGCTCAACTAAAGCAAAAGAAGAAGCTCATGGTTGCTCCTTCCCATCTCAGAAAAGTAGAGAAGCAAGCCTGGGGTAACCCTGGACAGTTGGAAGGAGGGAAGAATGGAATTCAATTTGTGAAATATGTAGTCTCTTGTACCAGACTTCCCTAAAGTTTTGATTAACCCAACATTAATAAAGGAAAGGGGGCTGGGGATGTGGCTCAAGTGGTAGCACGCTCGCCTGGCATGTATGGGGCGCTGGGTTTGATCCTCAGCACCACATAAAAATAAAATAAAGATGTCGTGTCCACCGAAAACTAAAATATAAATATTAAAAAATTCTCTCTCTCTTTTTAAAAAAAATAAAGGAAAGGACTTGTCCAGTTGGTACTTTTCAAAGACAACACTGAAATCAATCCCTTGACAGTTGTTACTTACGTTAATATTATCTCCCCAGAATTTATGTTCACGTAAAACTTTGGAAATGGTCTTGTAGAAAGAGTATCTTTGTAGATGGAATGAATTTAAGAGTTCATACTGGAATTCCATACTTTATAAACCTGATATTACTGGAGTCCATATAAGAAGAGGGAAACTTGGACACAGAGACAAAGGAATGCAGGGGAATCCATCAAGAGAAGACGGTGCAGTGGTGCATGCCTGTCATCCCAGCAGCTTGGGAGGCTGAGGCAGGAGGATCAAAAGTTCTAAGCCAGCTTCAGTAATTTAGCGAGTCTCTAAGCAACTTAGCAAGACCCTGTCTCAAAGAGAGAGAGAGAGAGAGAGAGAGAGAGAGAGAGAGAGAAGGAGAAGATTAACACAGATAAGGGAGATATGCAGCCATCTAAAATATGCTAAGGATTATGGGCACCCATGAGAAGCTAGGAGAAACACACGGGAAGTCTCCTTCTAAGACTCCAGAAGAAATCAACCCTGCTGATATCTTAATTTTAAACTTTTATCTTCCTTAACTGTGAGAGAGTAACTATTGTTTTAAGTCACTCATTTTGCTATAATTTGTCAGGGTAGCTGTAGGAAACTAAGACAACCTTCTTAACCTCTCTCTCTACTTCTTTTTACTTATAAAACGCCCAACAACACAAAACCACTCAGAAGAAGACTTCACTACCAAAGGCTGAAGGCTGAGACTTAATCAGCTGGAAATCATTTCCGAGGAGATAATATGATCATTTCTAAAACCTCATATGGAGATGTGGATGAAAATATCTGTCCTCTGAAATCTCTTACTTGGTACAGATTGCAATATAATAAGTGAGTATAAGATTCTGATCTTACAATACACCAAGTCAACTTAGAAAGGCCCAATAGACTTATTTGTATTCTAAAACAAAACTTGTTTATTGGCTGAGTCTCATCCTCCTACATTTCCTAAGACGATATGTTCACGTGGAGTTATACAAGAAACTCAGTAGTATTCTGCAAATAAAGGAAAGCTTTATTAGTTTTTAATCTTGATAAAACTGACCTTCTCTTGTGAACATGAATAGATAAACCAAAATTTACCAAACAATGTAGAAATCATGAGTAATAGAAAGCGATGGTGGTCTACAGGACATGCAGAGCCAATGTCTTCCAAAATATAACCAAAGATGAGATTGATATTTTAAAAATTCTAATTAGTGTGTAGTATATTGTCTTCACAATTAATTGAAGGTTGATATGTAAAAGGAACTATCAGAAAGCAAAGAAACAAATATACAAAATGCTCAAATCCAGTAAATTCAGTGAAATCTTGACTTTAAAAAAATGAGGTTTAGGAACTCCCCTGAAAAATTTCATAAAGCATACAGCAAGAATCAAAGAAACAGAAACTATCAGAAACATGAACATATATACATATGTGGAAAAAAAGAAATGCAAATGATCTAAACTGTTATGTAACAGAATATTACATGGGATTACATTACAGATTATTATGGGTATGAGAAAAGCAGAACTTCCAACATTTCAGATCTTATGAAATATTTGAGTTTTTATATAAGAAAAAAATATGAGAGGTTGAGTGAGGGAAACTTATAATTACCCTGGTGAATTTTCAAATTTTCTTGCATAATAAAAAAATTCTGCAACTTCTTAAGGAAAAATAAAAAAAATGAAAAGTAATTTAGTTTTAGAGCAACCACATAGAAATATTTATCTATAATATCACATATTAAAATGTAATTGAATACTTATTTTGCTAAAATTAAATATATATATATATATATATATATACACACACACACACACACACACACACACACACATATTCAGCCATACCAAATGCTGGAAAGGGCTACAGTGACTCAGTATGCCAAAGGAAAGAAGATCCAGGGAAGAAAGTGGTCCAGTGCCCTAACATTGTGAAGGAGCAAGAGACCAAGAAGGTGGTAAATCCTCTTTGAGAAAAGTCTTCAGATTTGGGGCATGGCATGGTACACTCAGCCCCAAAGGGACCTTGCCTGCAGGCTAATAGTGCCTTCTGCAATTAAACACTTCATCCGCCCAAGTCTGAATTGCCAAAAGCTACCCACTATCAAACTGGACTTTTAAGTATAGACCAAGTAAGAGACAAAGCAAGAAAAGAAGCCAGAACTGTTGACCCTAGCTATAAAGAAAACTGTTGACAAAGAAGTTATCTCTACTAAGAGACCACCTGTCCTTTATATATGATGTCATCAACTTGGTGGAGATTAAGAAGTCTCAGCTTCTGGTGATTGCACATGAAGTAGGTCCTGTCAGAATGGTTTTCTTCTTTTCTGCCTGACATTATAAAATGGGAGTTCCCTACTGAATCAACCAATGGGAGAACCAGACTGGGGCATCTAGCCCACAGAAGATCAGGAATATGTACAACACTGTCACCATAAGGCTGCTTAACTGGAAGGCAAATGTGCTCTGCCTAAACTAATAGAAGCTGTTAGGACCAATTACAATGACACATGATGACCTTCATGGTTACTGGGGAGGCAATACATTGGGTCAAAACTGTGTGGCTTGTGTTCCAAGCTGGAAAAGGCAAAGTCTAAAGAACTCATCACTAAACTGGACTAACTATATACTGTTGAGTTTTCTGTACGTAAAAATAATTTTTAAAATGTCTGTATGTAACAATATGAACTTTCATTCATTGTTGATGAGAATGCAAATTTCAAAGCCACTTTGAAAGATAGCTTCACAAATTCTTGTAAAGTTCAATAGACTTAACATACAAATCAGCAATAGTATTCCTAAGTATGTATCCATTGAAATTGAAATTTTATATTCACAAGAAAGCTGTATGTGAAACTTCATTCATAATTACCTAAAAAGACTTTGAATCAACCAACATATCCCTAACAGAAGAGTGGATAAACTGAGTTAAAGCCTTTCTATGTAGTGAAATATATGGCCAAATACTATTTAGTGATAAAAATAAATGAACTATTGATTTGTGCAACAGCATGAATGAACATTAAGTATACTCAACTAAAGAAAGTTGTCAGACCCTGAAAGTACATATTGTATGATTCCCTTCTTTACATTCTAGAAAAGCCAAAACTATAAGCACAAAATCAAGGGTTACTAGGGTTTGGTGAGGACAGAGTACTTGACTCCAACAGGGATGCACACGGGGACTTTTAGGATGATGAAATTCTTTGTTCTACATGGTACCCAGTAGTGGGCAC